GCCCGCGGGCTGGCGGTGTGAGCACCCCCGCCCCGTCCAAAATCACGAGGCAGACTCTTCAAAATCAAGAGATCTGGCCCGTAAATCATGAGATTCCGGGTGTTTTTAAGGGGGGTTATTTGTGAAAGGGGGTCCCCCATGCTCTGGCAGGATTCATGGTGCTGTGGGTCAGGAGTGAGGGGCTGCAGCAGGGCTGTGGCTTGGGTGTGAGGATGGACCCCCCCCCCCCAAGTGGAGGGGAAAGCGGAGCAGATCAAGTCCCCAGGGTGAGGCAGGGGGCAGGGCTGGGGTGAATGGGGCCCCAGGGCTGTGGCGGGGTGTGTAACAGAGCCGCAGGCAGCTCCGAGGAGGAGGCAGGGGTCCAGCTCCCAGCGGGTACATGCACCCTCCGGGGGAGGCATCACTGGCATGTGTCCCCCGCAGGGCAGAGGTGGTCTGGGGCTCTGTACCCTGGTGCTTTTGCCTTGGGAGCTGTGTGAGGCCATTGCCACCCACAGGGAGGGGAGGGGATGTGCACAGCGGCCAGCATGCAGCTTCCGGGCCAAACTTTACCTCAGGAGCTGCATGCTGGCTGCACCATGCATCCCCTGCCTGCCTGCCTGGCAGCAGGAGGCACACTGGTGTCACACGGCTGAGCTCCTGGGGCAAAGGCTGCATACTGCTGCGTACAATTCCAAGGGGCATATGCCCCCATGCCTCCCTCAGGGATGTGCACAGCTGTGGGGAGCCATGTCCCCTCCCCCCCGTGGCTCTGGACAAGCCTCTCAGGGCTCTGTCACATAACTTACTCTGACCCCAGGGCCCCATTCACCCCTGCCCCACTCCCTCCCTCATTATGGGGGCCTCGATCTGCTCCCCCACTCCCTTCCCCTCCATGCACCAGAAGAAAAAAATCTAGATTTGAGGGGTCTGTCGGGAGATCGTAAGTTGGAGTTATTTTGACTTAGAAATTGCGAGTCTCACGATTTTTTTGCAGCAGTTTGCATTACTGTGCCGGTCCTGCCTTGTTGGAGCTGCTGTGCTCCTGTGAAGCCTGGCCAACCCATGGTCTTTAGATGGCTGCACACGGACCCCTCACTGTATCTCGCGGTCACCCGGGATTGGGCTGGAAAGGGTGGGCATCTGCGCTGGGGGCATTGGCACCAGCCACAAGGGCATGCAGGACTTGTGCACTGCTCTTCTTCAGGGGCAGAGTGCAGCTAGGTAACCTAGTGGGTAGAGCAGGAGACTCAATGAACTTGGGGCCTATTCCTGTTGTTGCTGCCCTGGCCCCCCGATCCTTGGAGGCTGGTGACAGACAGTTGTTTAGATAACCCGCGATTCCAGGGGGCTGGAGAGGAGGTGGTTTTCATAGCATGGGGAAAAGGACCTCCAGTGGGTGCAGCAGATGCACCTGCTTCCAGGCCTTGTGGATAGCAAGTTCTCAAGCTGTTCTGTAGAGAGAAACAATGGCAGGGGCTGCATGAGTGCTCTTTCTCAGAATGTGTGTAGCGGGTTTATGGGGTGAGCCACGGTTCCTGTACGAGGAGCAGATATGGAAATAGCATCAATAATGTGTTTAAACAAGCCTCAGGCAGCTGTTCTGCGGCAGATGTTCAGAGTGCACGACTGTTTGTGCAACACAAAGGGGTACTTGGTTCCCATGATCTATCTGTACAACTCATTCTTGGCTTTACCACTTCAGTATAGTCCCCCCTTTAATTAAACTCATGGCCATTAAGTTTATACTAAATTACGTAGGAGTAAGCAGAGCTGAGCTGGAGTCCCCCACTTCAGGAATTCTTGGGAAGGTGAGGGGTCTCCTAAGAAGCATGTTGACTGAAGCAAAGGTGTGGGACACAAGGCTGCTGCTGCAGCGTGGCCGAGTTCAGCAGAAATGTTCTTGTTCTGAGGGTACAGGATGTGCAGTACTGAGCATTTCAGGGACTATTTGTCTACATTAACCGAGACAAAACCTGGGTTAATGACAGTTCAGCCTGCATAATTAAGCATATCCCAAAAGCATGGAAATCAGAAGTTAATGGAAATATCACATATTTTGTCATCTTTCCATTGCCAACAACACAATCAAACTACGTCTACAGTAGGAGTGCTTTACATATAGGACATATCACCCGTAATGTGAATGCCATTACCTTGGTAATACTACCCTTTGAACTCAGAGATTAAGCCACTCCTGGAGTGAAACAAGCTGTGGCATTGAAATGCAGTTTTGATAGTATAGATTTGGTACATGAGAGCCTCTGGTTGGTACTGCTTAAAAAAAAAAATCCTTTCCAGGGCTAAATCAGTTCCGAATGGAGTTCCAAATTTGGATCTAGCAGAGCTGAATTGTTCAAGTTTGTGGTGTGCTACCATTGGCAAGTAGTATCCTACCTCCCAGACTCATCAGTCCAGGGTTTCAGGTACTCCCAAATCTCTGGCAGGTATCCTACGTATAAGCCCCAAGGCCAGAGGTCTTGGGTCACACACTCACATGCTTGACCCACAAGGCTGTGTTAGAAGCCTGAGCTGCAGACCTGGCCTCAGTTATCCACAGTAACTCCCTGAGACATTTATGGCCCTGCTACAAAATTACAAAGAAGAGGACTCTTGTCTTCCCCTGTTCTTTTCTTTTGAAAGTTATTTAAAAAATACATCAGAAAGACATTAAAATTGTATGGTTAAGCAGTCAAAGGCAGGAAAAAGCAAACCTAAGTGTGCCTGCTCCAACTTTACTCTGACCCTTGTTTGCATACTTTACTACACAATTATGTGCTGTTTTTCAATGACTGGTAATGCAATACACAGTCTGGGAAGCAATGGGCAGGTAGTACTCTTCATCTTGTTATTGTGGACTCTGTCAGCCTGAAAGAGAAAATACTAGAGAAGGTTATCAGAGGTTATTGAAAAAGGTTGTTTGTTATTAACTAAGTTATTTGAGATGCTGTGTGTAAGTAAACATTATATCATAAGGGGATAGAGTTAAACGTACGTGAGCAACCTTAACTTCAGTATTTCTTGGCTTACCAGAGCTTAATTACACAACATTATTATTTATATGGAATATCTAGCTATCGAATTATTGCTCCTTCTATGAACAGTTAAGATCAGATCAGGCCTGAGAGCCAGCAGCTCCCAGATCTGAGCATCTGGAGCTGTGGATGTTTTGTGAAAAGACATTAGCTCTGGATCTTACCCCCTACTGGTGCAAAGGAGCCCAGGGATGTTGACCTTTGGGACATGTTGCAAGGCTCTTATGTTTATGCTGGCTTTTACCTCAATACATAATTGGGATGGGTTTCTTCTGTTGTTTAGAGAAGTCTAATTTTTAGTGTTTCAGCTAATCATGAGTCAGTTAGTTAATCATTTAATTATGTAATGGTTAATTTGTTTTATCTCAGATATTTTTAAAAGTGCATTATAAATCAAGAAATATACACACACAGGGTGCATATACATGTGTGCATTTACTGTGCAGTAACCAAAATTACTGTGCAGTACAGGTGCACGTCTACACGTGCATGCCTGTACTGTGCAGTACATATGATGACTTATGCTGACTTGAGTGTAAATTTGATATCTGCATTGTGCAGGTATCAAAGTTACTCCCGATTAGTTACTGCACAGTAACACACGTGTAGACAACTTACTGCACAGTTACACTGTGTGTGTGGACTGACTTGGGACTAATTTTAGTCCCAAGTCAGTCCACATGCAGTGTTAATGCGCTTTAACACCTGCATGTATAGATGCCCACCTACTTCTGTTTATTGTGCAGTAACTTACTGTGCAGTAAATTTAAGTTGACGTAAATGCATATGTAGACACGCCCACAGATATGCATATTTGTATGCACAGAGGCAAATAGGTATACCTGTGCATGCGTGCACTCTCTCTCTCTCTCTCTTTCTCTTTCTCTCTTTGGATTTCTCCAGGGACGAAACCTGGGATCCTAGAGAAGTGCAAGCCCACTGTCCCATCCTAAGTACATAAGAACTTAAGAAATGCCATACTAGGTCAAACCAGCATCCTATCTCCAAAGGCGCAGAAGTGGGTGTTATAGAGAGGAAGCATGAACCAGATATATCTAGATGGGGGTGGGCAAAGTCCGGCCTACAGGCCAGATTGGGCCCCTGGCAGACTCCATTTCCCAGCAGACCCTGCCTGCGTTGCTGCAGCTAGTTTCCATGGAGATCCCAGCAGCTGCAGGGCTGTGAGAGGGCAGGGCAAGTGTTTCCATGGAGATCGGCCTCTGCAGTGCTGGGCAAGGAGCTGATCTGGGGCTGGGATCTTATAGCAGTGACAGTGTGATCTGGAGCTGGGGCAGAGCTGTGATCCATTGCCCACATGTCCTAGGTAGGGGCATGTGGGCAGCAGATCACGGTTTTGCCCCAGCTCCACACCATGCGGCCACCACTTTAAGATCCCAGCCCTGGCCACGGAGCAGCTCCCTGCCTAGCCACACACCCTGCCAGTGCTGCTGGGGCCAGTCTCCATGGAAACCCCGACCCTATGCTGTCATGGTGCCACTGCTGTTGGGGTCTCCATGGAAACTGGCTGCAGCGATGCAGGCAGGAGCTGCTGGGAAATGGAGTCCGGCTACCAGCCGGATCTGTCATTTTGCCCTCCCCTGATCTAGAGTGATCTATCTCCTATTCAGTACCCTCTTAGGCATCCACCATCATAGGTTTAGAGATGCCCAAGGAAACATCTGCAACCATTCTGTTCAA